AACTAATCTATACATATTAATCTGTGGTTAGAAACTTGCTTCATCACCTTCGCAATTATCGCATTCTACTGCTGAGCTACGTCTCATTTGATCAGAACATTGGGACCTACCTAATAGATCCATCCAAGTCTGCTAATAAATAAAGAAGCAGTTTGCAATAAGATAAATTCCAGCCTTGTATTATTTATTTGTTTATTGCTTTGAACCGTGGAAGATTTATGTTATTGCCAGATGTATTGCTATATATATTTCTTCTTCTTCTTCTTCTTCTTTTTTATCTCTTTATGCTCCCAGAGATAAAATTCTTCTATGATAATATGGAAACAGAAATCATTGTGTGCCTCTACTAAGCTCATCAAATAATGTCATACATTGTATATAGAATATAATGATGAACATTACAATAATATAGAGCTGTCATCCGTCAATAAGCCACAATCTACATGCATTCATATATAGCTCAACTCCTACAAGGCTATATAAGCCTGAGTTTAGTGTTCAAGCTTGTGAACTAACTGACACCAAGCCTCAACTCCAGCTCGTTAACTAGCTAAATGAGCAGTTTAACAATTTTAATAGGATCAGAAGCCTATATATATACCATGTAGAGTTTATTTAATGTGTTTTAATAATTAATTCAATCAATTTATCCGGCAATAAGCTTTTGGGTAGAAAGTTACAAGTAGATTCCTTCTTAATTAATTAATTAATTAATTAATGAGTAGCTAGCAGTACTACAATCTACAATGGGTACTGTAACTTGATAATACCAAATTAATTATATCATCTTAAAGATAAATTGCAAGATGATGTAGAGCATACTAGATAGCTTATCTTGATCAGGTTAGGTCATGGTCTCATGGAGGAGATCGAGGACTGTTTGGTCAGAAGAAGATATTAATTAATATGAAGATAATGGTGAACATGCATGTGAGAATCAATTTATTCCAGTTCCAGATAGGATAACAATAACATTATAGCTCTGAGACTCTGTCTGTGGATTTGATTCTAGTGCGGCTATTGTGTCTTTTGGACCTCCCCAAGAGGTGCCAATCGATTGGGTGTGTCAAGTCAATTAATGGGAATTGCTGATGTTGGACATTTGGGTTAACAAATCTTCTGAGGCCCAACCTCGATTTAATGTGCTGCATTAAATAAGCTCACAATAATGGGGGAATCTCATCTACTCTCTCTCTCTATGTGTCTCTTATGACAACGATTCTTTATTCTTATTCTTATCATATCCACGTGGCAAATGGTCTCCCGAGGGTGGTTCCATTGAATGCAGAACTGAATATATACGGTTTCCTTTTGGGTGGTTCAAATTCAATTAAACACATCATAAGTTGCAACTCTTGACGAAAGACTTGACTGGTATTGGTTAAGACCTAAGAGTTGGCCAGTTGGGGGCAGAATGGAATTAATTAATTGATCCAAATCCAATGACAGCGAGGGAAGCTCCACGTACAAGTGGCGTTAGTTTTCTTTTATTTTTTTAATTTGAAAGCTGACTGACAATTAACTCAACAAACAACGAACGAATGAATGTCCTATAACACCCGTCACCAGTCACCACTGATAAATATCAAATACCCCTCCTACCCTTTCTTTCCTCTTTTGCCGCCATCATTTCAACTCGCCCATGTCTTATAATTAAGTGTAACTATGTTGTATTTATGAATATTTGCTATATATTGGGGTTTTTGTTAATTTCCTATATTTAAATCAATTACTGGGTGCATTCAGATGTTATAAGATATAATAATTTAACACCTCAAACTCACATTCAGATGCAACGGACTTTGTATGGATAGATAGATGGATAGCAAACCAAGAAAAGGGGGAAAGGAAGATGGTGGCGCATCATATGTGCTCTTCAAAAAACAAATAGATGTAAAAGAGGTATTGAAAACATAGTAATATTAACCTTTTTTTTGTTTTTTTTTAATTTTTTTTTTAAGGCGTATACTAACCTTAAGGTTATGTTTGGTTTGATGAAAAAGGTAAGGAAAGGAAGGAAAATGTAAAGAAACTTATACAAGGTTTATAAAGGTTTATATTTCCTTTCCTTTCCCTACTTTTTTCTTTAAACCAAACACAGCCTAAGAGACATCACATTCTTTTTGTTTATATATCAGATTATTAATTATATATTAATATATATATTACCAAAAAATTATATACTAGTGTGAGATCATGCCAAACAATAAATCGAACAATAACAAAAATCTGGTAAGAGGCTTATATAATAAGGGTACGTGGATGTACTTTTAATAAAATAGAATGTTAAATAGAGTTAAGAGAGTTTTTATCGTGGTCCTTTACATTTTTATTAGTTCGAAAAATGAAATAACCAAATCAGATATTAGAGAAAGAAGTGAAGGAAATAGTGTTGTGCATTCAGGGAAATCATCAAAACCAAGGGTCTCATATGCGTATCTGCACATAAGATTTACACACAAGAGATATAGACAATTTATAACTCAAAAGTTTAACTTATTAAGTTATGGGCCACTCTTGTATATAAGTATATTACTTTTCAATGTGCGATTCTCTTCATTCCATATACTGTTTACATGTGAATCCCAACAATCTCTGCCTCATATGTGTGAGTCTTTTCTACATTGGGAACTCTATAGTCCCTCTTGAATTGAAATCTTGATGTGACCAACCAAGAGCCCTTTGCTTACAACCATGGGGGACCAACCATAGGAATACATTTCCATGGGTGGAAACATCATAAGAGATCAACTAGTCTTACTAACTACTCAACCATGGGAAAGACAGCAAAGCTATGAGAATCATCATGTGCATCTGTCAACACTTGTGCCTAGTTAAACTTTCAAATCTAATACCACTACTATTCATCGAGGAGAGTCACCAAAATCAAAAGGGCTCGTGTATATATATATATATATATATATAGACTTACACACAAGAAATGAACACCAGTTTTAACCCAAAAGTCTAAGCCATTGGGTTATGGGTCATTCTTGTATATAATCCCTTACACCTCTCATTCCTTTTCAATGTATAACTTTCTTCATTCTATACATTATTCTCATGTGAATCCCAACAAATAGAGACTCTATCTTTTGATGATAAGCTTTTCTAAATAATTTAAATGAGAAGCTCCAATGGGAAGAATAACAGTCATGATCAAAGAATTGCCAACTAAACAAGACTAATGAAGAAACGCCAAGATTTCTAAAAGCCACTAGTACATGTCAATAAGAGACTCCATTTATCCAAAGAAAATTCAAAGGACTACGAGTGGAAAACCTAAGAAGTAGATCTTCATTAGATTTAGAAAATGAGAAACAGTATTATACACAAATATTCCTTAGTGAAATTAATACTTAAAACTGTGATCTTAGAAAAACCAATCAAATGGAAGTAGAACGACAATCTAGGGCTTGAGTTTATATTTTTGCGTGAAATAACAATGGCACCCTTTCTCTCATGTGGGAACGTTCCACATGTGTTCGATATTAGACAAGGACGTTGTGGGAACCACGCGTTCCCAGAGAACGTGTTCTTTGAGAGCGTCAATTGGTCACTCCCAAAGAACGCATTCTTTAGGTGATGTACTCATGTGGGAATGGCTCGTTTCTTCCATTTTTTTTTTTTTTTGCCAAACGTGTTTCTATTCCACGAGAACGCCAGGAATGGCAGAAAATGCTCTCGCAAAACATTACCAAACAGGGCCTTAGGATCCCAGAGTTCCATTTCTAAAATACCTCTAAATTGTCATAATGCAATCCCTAAAATACTCTAAATTCCCATAATCTTATTTCTAAAATATCTTAACAATTAAATGTATTTTTAGGTGATTGCCTTGGGACGAGAAAAATTTGGGAATCCCCCATCCCTAATGAGGAGTGGGTGCCCCACCCTACAACCGGGGATGGGACGGGAATGGGGTAGAGTATCTTGGTTTTTGTGTTTCCAAGGAGCCCCCAAAAAACACAAGAATATTTGAAAATTTTGATTTTTAAGCCCGTTTTTACTTCATGTGACATTTCATAAAAACTTTGGGATTATGAGTGAATGTTGAAAATGAGCTTCTTTCAAACATGATATAGTATAGGTATTATGATAATTAGGTGGGGGTTACAACGAGCCAGAAATGCAATAAGAACTATTTCAAAACAGGCTTGTTCCCTTAAAAAAGAAAAAGCATTTAGTGGGGCTTTTTTTATCAAATACCCATAAGGGCTTTTTTAGGTGTTTTTGTAATCTTTTAAGCACTTTTCCCAATAAGCGCTCTAAAGAAGCACTCCCAAACAGGTGCTTAGGCTTTGGAACTTTGGGATTTCAAGAAAAGGGGTCAAAATAGGACGCGATAAAACTTTGCATAAAGAATTAGGTTGGAGGGTTATAGAAGTTGATTTTGCACGGCAGAACAAAAATTTTCAAAAAAAAAGTCAAGGTTAGAAAATTCAGAAAAGTACGCCTAAATGTGGAAATTTTGAAATTTGTTAAAGGGAAAAAAAAGGAACTTAAAATTTAAAATGGAGAAACTTGAATAGAAACCTATTTTAACCAAGGTTGGACACTTTAACGGCTAGAAAGGCTGAATTTTAGAAGAATGGGCTTTACTTGGGAGTAATATCAGCCCATTAATGAGGTCATTTGATGGTGTTCGTAAATGGCAATGAGGGGCCTGGGGACTGGGGAGGGATAGATGTACGCAGCCTTTACTTACCCTCGAGAGACTGTTTCTAAGATTTAAACCCTGATCACCCAGGTCGCAATGGAACGATCCAACCGTTGCACTAAGGCCCACTCTCAGAGAGAAAAGAAAGAAGAGAAAAATCCTAAAATCACTCTTCTGGGGTTTATAATGATCTGTCTTACTATTCTCCGATCAAAATACTCCTCAAAGCACAGGTACTTCCCTCGTACTAGAGCATAGACGCATGCCTCTTCATGCTCATGCAGATGTCAATGTCCAAAGTATTGACATATGTGCATCAAAATGCAACAATTGATGATAATGACCATTCAATCAACTGAGACAGTGGGATATATATTTTCACGATATAAGAAAGCAAGAACAAATCAGGATCATATGTTTAAGCAGGTAAAACATCAATTATCTCTTCACCATTCAACATCTAGTAAACTTCCAAAAAAGAAACATCTTGTAAACTAGCGTACACCACCATCGTCCCTACCAATATGTAGAGTTATTGTGATGCAGGCTGAGCAACATGGTCTTCCTTTCTCAGGGTGCCTTACTCTTTGGTGGGGAAGGAAGCAACTGCATAAAAGTAAAAAAATAAAATAAAATAAAATTAGCAGAAGGATTAAAAATACTGTTCAATATACTTTTCTCTTACGTGGCAAAAGAAATAGGGTTCCCCTTCCATGAATAAAATGGACCTTTCTTTCAAAAAATAAAAAAGAAAAAGAATAAATGAACCTTCATAACAAATAGTTTTACTAGCAAGCACCTGATAACAAGAGATTAGTGAGCTGACAAACCCAAAGCTTCCTGTCACACGAGGAGTGACCTTCTTAGGTGCCAGTTGAAGCAGTCCAACTGCGACCACTGCATCCATGATTGCTTTTACAAGAGCTAATGATCTGTCATTTGATTGTTTGAGCTTAGTGCGGTACTGCTCATTCTGCATCCACCAACAGAAAAAAGAACTGTCTTCAGAATGAATGGGAACAGGGGAAAGACTGATACGGTCAGCTCCTTTAAGAAATTTGTACCATATACTGAAAAAAGAAAAAAAAAACGTACTTCGTATTTATCAGTGTTCTTGAGTTCCTTTTCCAACTTCTTCATTGATGCAGACAGTCTTGCAAGCTCCGCAAGCTTCAAAAGATGAAAAAGTGGACCAATTTTGTAAGTTAACTTTCAGGACCATATGCCTAGAGTTCAAAAAAAGGGACATATATCAATTGGCACTATTGGGAGCAAAGAGGACAAACCTCAACTAGAGTGGTACAAATTGAGGAACCCATCCAACAGAAAAGAGATATCCTGCCAACCAGCTCTACACGTTCTTTGTTCTAGAACAACCAATGAACTGTCTAAGTTACTAATTTCTAATGCCTCATTGTATATAAATATAGTAAAGAAACCCTCACCTTATAAATGCCTGTTCTTCCAAGCCAGACAATTTGATCCAGAAACAAGAAAGTTGACAACAATGCATTTTTTGACTGAAAGATGTATCAGGTTAACATCACAAAATGTAAAAGGAAAGGAAAATGATTCAATCTGCAATCAACATGTACCTTTCCAAGTAAAATAATTGGAAGAGGAGTTCCTTTAGGAGTTGGACTAATAAGAGCATGCAAATCATTGACAAACTGCAAATTCGTGAATAAAATTAGATAATATTCCAAATAAATTTGTAGAAATATGTCTCACTTTCAGATAAGTTTTCAGCAATAGAGACAAAATTAAGCATATGACACCCTTGATACAAGTTAAAACATTGATGCCCAACCCAGAGGGACCAATTGTACAAGTAGACCTAGAAATGATGCTGCAAAACTTCATGGTGTTAATGTCCCAAAAAAACTAACCTTAAAAAGACGAAAAATTTTGCGAGCCAAACTAGTTGATTTATCAACATTTTGAGCTGTACCAGGCTCTCCATTGCTCAAGAATTTTGAACCATATTGTATCGCCCTGCAAATCTTATCCCTGGCTTCAGATTTGCTCAAGTACAAGACAACAAGAGCAAGTTCTGCTCTGGTTGCATCTAATGTACTCATCTTTTTCCCTCAATGCACCTGCTCAGTAATAGCAGCTAGTTTCAATATAAGCCACCCACTAAAGATCCAACACTAAGAGAAGCAGTCAGCATTTCAATGAACATAGATATTTGATCCATAAAATCTGCAGAAGGATAATTGATATAGGAATTAAGGAGTCAAATATGGAATTTCCATATTTCTTAATGTATTTTTCTTTTGTTGGGTGACCGGGATATTTTGGTTCTTTGATATATTTTCTGCAGTATGGCATTGAACAGAATGGAATGGAAAAACAGGATTCATGTAGCAAGCCCAATATGGATGAGACAAGGCTTAGATGATAATGATGATATGTTTTCTGCAGTCCAGCCTAAGAGTTTTCTTTGTCTAGTCATAGTTAACTTGTGTCTAAAATTTTGTAAACATAAGATGAGTAGTTAGAGAGTAATAGCAGTTCCCTTAAGTTGAAGTAGTGATAGCAATGTAATTTAATTTCTGTTTTCCTTGGTTTTAGTAAGAGCCACCAATCTCAAGGGTCTGGTCTTGTGAATGCAAAACACTGATTGGTCTTTTGAGTAAGGTTTTGCCTCTTGCTTCTATGGTGAGTAATTCCCATAAACTTTAGTGACTTGTGGTGCCTGTTAAACACCAGTAACTCTGGGCTTTTCCTTTTCTCTCTTTTGCTTTCTCTATAAGTTTTCTGATTCCCGTATCAATCATTCAAAAACGGCCAAGGAGAACATCAACAAATTACATCAATAAAAAACTGAAATTGATCCCATGTGTGCTCTTGATCAATTTCCCCATAAAAACTAATGTTGTGCTGAACAGGTTTGTTATGTAGCTCTTCACCAACCTGTAAAGATTTGTGAAACAGAATGGAATGACAAAACAGCATTCATGTAGCCAACTCCATAAAATTGGGCTAAGGCTTGGATGATGATGATGTGACCAAATCTGTAAAGATTTGGAAGCAATTTTACATATCACTGCTCAAGAGAGAAGAAAACTCACACTGAAGGGAGAATGACACTTGGAAAAAGAAAATATTCAGGAATCGAGATACATTGTTCTTCATTGTTCTCAGTTTTATTACAACCCACAACTTCCATAATTAAAAAAAGTCAACCCAGTAATAACTCCTGTTTACATCAATTACATCAAACCAATTCAACTTTATTTATTAAGGATTGAAGAGAAGCCCGTTAATCATGCAACTCATGTCCAGTGCATGTCAATATGGGAATAGGTTCAACCAAGAATGATTTCATTACTCTCTTTCGCTCTCTATCTTTTTTCTTCTAAAGCTGCAATATGTTTTTCTCTTTCTTTTCTCTACCCAGATCTGAATCTCATTTTCATGTACCTCAGATCCTTAATTTCTCTTTTGTTACCTACCACATCCAATCTTGAAGGACATTCTCCTTCTTGCCTTGCATCACCAGTCCTACCAAATTCCATCCGAAAACTCCACATAAACCTCCAATTTCCAAACTTTCAAACTTTCATGGAGAATCTATAGTTGCTAATCCCCAACCTCGTACACCCTCCTAGCCCTAATCGCCTCATTTCATTAGGCCTAAAACCAACCCTAAACCTAAATTGAATCCATAGCCACCACCTCAGATATGTTCCTTATCCCTACAAAGAATTATTCTTTAATTTACCAGTTCTAGGTCATAGCAGCCCAACAACAATTTGGTGTCAGGCCACCTATATTTTAAAATTCCCCTACCATCCTACATCAGTAATTCTCTAACAAAAGATGATTTTTCTGAATTTGTTAATAATCATGATAATTCAAAAATGAAAAACTTCAATTATGAAATTGAAAATAAAAAGCATTTCCTCGAAGAACAGCATAAAAAAACAAATATGCAATAGTAATTAGTAAGTAAAATACTTCAGCAAATTATGCCAACATGTATATCCTAGTCATAGATATGCAATAGTAATTAGTAAGTAAAATACTTCAGCAAATTATGCCAACATGTATATCCTAGTCATAGGTCGAAAAGACGATTATTTTCTTACTACCTTATTTGTGGTCAGAGAAATATTGTTAGATCTACATGTCATATTCAGCCTATGGACAGCAGCAACATAGTATATATTTTCTTTCATATGCCCAATCCCCTTCCCCCTTCCCCCTTCCCCCACCACCCAGAAGAAGAGGGCCAAATGTAAGATAGAATAGCTTCTTCTCTATAATTATTTTTCATCTTTTTTTCTGTGCCTTCTTATTTTTGGTTCTTTTATGATCTATTGCAACTAAACTTTTCCATCCATCCATCTTATATTCTACTGTTGTTTCCTGTGGGTAAAACCATTAATCCCTTTTATTTACTGATAAATCCCTTGGGAAACTACTTGGTGTAAAGGTAACATGTTGGGTGAGTCTGACTATCTGGGAGCATCCACTTTATGCAAAAAAATACCAAAGGTTAGGACCTCACTAATGGTGATCCATGACCTCACACCTCTTGGCATTCCACAGGCCTGTGACCTTTGGTTTTCCAAGGGCTTCATGACTCTACAATGGGGTGACTAAATTGTTTTCTGGTACACTGAATATCTTCAGTGATTGAACCATTGGAAGATATACCACCATCGTTACCTCTTTATTTATGTACCCTGTTCATTTAGAAAGGAGAGCGTGAAGTGAGCTTTTATCAGCAGCTGCTTGTAATCAGTGTAGTGAGTGAACACCAAGGTCACCCTCTATAACAAAGAACAAGAAGAATTCATCTTCGTGCCACATTATCCTTTGGCAGAGACTAGAGAAGTTGTAATCCCACAATGACAAATAGTGGAAGTTTACCTAGACTACTGCCATGGTTTTTCCCTTCAAGTTTCAGAAGGGTTTTCCACATTAAAAATCCATGTGTATGCTTGTTTTCTATTCTTATTCTGGTTTTTTATCTTCCCCATCTCACTAGTTCGTTGTTTGCTTTCAGTATCACACACTCCCAACAAACTAGTATCAGAGCCTAGGTTCATTGTTGTGTGATTTTTGTCAGTATCTAGTGAGACGGAAGAGAGCTCTTGCATGGTGTTCAAGCTTACATCTTCAAAATACATAGTCTAGAAGATAAAAATAGAAGATATTCTCTACTGTAAACAGATGTTTCAGCCCATCAAGCTGAAAAATGTCAAACCCTGGACCAAGTTCAACGATGACTGAGTACTGCTGAATAGGAAAGTTGTTAGACCAATAAGGCAATGGATAAACCAAAGTGTCTTCTACCATGTTGCACAATAAGTCAATGCATACAAGCTATGGCTGAAGCTAGAGAGTCTATGAGCACAAGACCTCGCAAACAATACTTTCATGAATCGAAAGCTAGTAAACATGAAGTACAAAGGAAGGGGGTTGGGTAAGTTGTGATACTAGTTTGTTGGTGAGATGCTGAGACAACGGAAGATAAATAAGCAGAATAAGAAATTGCGACTCTTCCTTTGTACTGTACTGTAGTGAAGCTGGAAGAAGAAGACGCAGGTTGGGTAAGTTGTGACTCTTCAGAGGACGATGCTGAGACAGACTTGGAAGCTGAAAATCAAGTTAAGGATGGGATAGAAATGCTGGAAGACACCTTCAACACAGACATTATTTTTGCTGAGAATGTGGAAGACGCTTCATCTATGCTAAGACCCACCGCTGAGAAGGGGGAAGACTTTACCTCCATGCTGAGAATCCCTGCTGATGGTGAGCTGACAAATGATGCTGCATGCTACTTGGAGGCTGGGGGGGATAACCGAACCTTGGGAAGGAAACAATCAAACAAGATAATGAACAGGGGGCTGGGAATAAATGAGATGGTAATGACTGAACACCAGAATTCAGACTTTGATATATCAGGAGGGGACGAACGACAGAGCCCCAGAAGTACCAGCAAGGGTGAATCATGCCTAGGGTGTGACCAGCATAAGCATACTCTGCCACCGAATTGTGAAACCCAGATTGTTGTTGAACAACCTCTTCTTTCAGACCCAGGCATGCTTGTGGTTTTGGGTTTTGAACTAATCCTTGTTCTGCTCTTGATGGTTGTCTCCCAGATTCCAGGCCTGCCTCACTTCCAATTACTCATGACAGGTGTGGGGGGTGGGGAGATACAGAATAAGGATGAGAAGGAGGAGGGGGTATGCAATTTAGTCTTGGAAGAACTTGGGAAAACAAATAGAGTGGAATTAGAAAGGGATAAGGCAAATGAGGGTGAGGTTGGTGGGTCTAAAGAAGACAGAGGAGGAATGGAACAGAAAGGGGTGTACGGGAGGCATAGAGAGGACGAAAATAAAGGTGTTGAAAAAGGAATTGAAAGAGAGGATTCCTTAGCCGAATTTGTAGGAAAGCTAGGCTGCAAGATTAAAAATCTGAATGAGCTGAAAGTGCATCTGAAGAATAAGAAAGAGGAAAGGAAAGTCAGAAAAAGAAGG